TTAGAAGGAACTGTATAATTCTTCCCAATTTTATATCCATATGCATTTGTATTCTTGCATTTTGGTACTTACTCCTCAGCAGCAATATCCAGACACTGCATTGATAACATCCAAAAGTAATAGCCAGCATCATCAAATCTGTTCTCATTGACAGCATTCATAGTTAGCTGCTCCAGTACCCTGAATGCTTCATCTGGTTTACCAGCCTTGTGAAAAGCTGAAACAATATACAAATGAAGAATATTTAATATTTCATATAATTAACAACATTAACTGCAAAAATGGATAAATAGAAAGAGAAAAATTAAATAAATACCTGATTAAATAAGAAATGGCCATGGCAAACAAGTATCATTTGTATATCTTCATTTCGATATGATGAAAGCCATACCTTTTTGGGCCTGCAGGAACTTATCCTGTTCAGCAAGAGAGGTGGCATATGGCACATACACAAGTTGACGGTACTCCGGATGCTTGTCTGCCCAGACGAAGGCCTCCTCCCAGTCCTGCACTTCAACATACAGTTCCACTACACTCTGCATCTCTCCCATTTTCCTGAAAAGGATTAATCCCACAGCAAACATTTTAACAAACAATAAAATAAAACATTCTAAGTCCCTCAGTCAACAAAAACCCACAACCCAAATCCATCAGTGAAAGCAATGGGCAATAATACAACAGCAACATACTTGTACATCTCAGCAGCGTGTGTCAAAGCATTCAGACGTCGGAGATGCTGTGCACAAAGGCTGAGTGTCTGATGATCAGCTTTGTCTGTTTTCCTTCCAACATCCATTAGCCTGAGAAAATTATCAGAAGAAAATAGGGAACACATTAAATTACTGTACATTAAGAACATTAAATTATTGTACATTTAGAAGTATAAATATAAATCTATACCAACTAATCAACTAATATTTCCATAAATTACCTTGTGAATCATTCAAATAGATCAAATAATGCTTAACAAGGACAGTAATATACACAGATACATAATAAATAACATACATATCAATCCATCCATTTTCTCCCATGATATCAATAGCCTTGTGAGTCTCTCCCGCAGACAGGTACATCTCAGCAGCAGCTCGGGGTTCGTTGATATTTCGAGCCCAATCTGCCTTTTTCTTGATGAGCTGCTTCCTGTCCACAGTTTCATCTGATCCAAGGTAGTCCTTGGGAGGGTGTAAAAATGTGCAAGTCAGAAAATAATTTAATAATTGCAGAATATCTTGAGAACAAACCTGCACACTGATGGCATATGGCTGATTATACCTGCATTCTAGAAGTCACCCAACAGTCTCATCTTGCCAGACATGTGCCTTTTGTATATCTATATAACTTTCTCCCTTTGTATAATTTCTCCTAACTTTAGTATCAGAGATAAGTGATTACAATAATATCTATACTTTGTACAAACTAGGTCAGGTAGTATGGCATGTTAAAGGTAAAATCCACATTGCTTATGATACCAAAGGCTTTGGTGGTGATAAAAGCAAAGGAATCAAGGGGAAGAGATTAAAGTAAGATGGGCTGTTTCTTATGAGATATGCAATAACAAGAGTAATTGAAATAACAATAAAATACAAATACAAATGCAATGTCCACAAACCTGTGCCAAGTCAAACATCCTCAAGTCTGTGTACATATTCATAGCTGACTGGTCACTGCCACTCTTGCGATAGAGCTTGGCTGCTTCAGAGAACTTGCCCTCATAAGCAAGGATATCAGCCAGAAATAGGCCATTGTCAACCTCTCCCTTATGACTCCGTTCCTGTCGATAAAATTTGTAGGATTTTAAAAAATACACATAATTCTATCTTTACATTTAAATGAAAATAATAAAGTGTAGCAGAAGCAGTATAAACAAAGTTGCTGCATAATTTATTAAATGTGCATTTTTTGCAACATTTGTTAGTTGGCTATATATTTTGCCAGCTGTGGAGTGTCTACACACTACACTTCAACTCGGCAATAATTACCTCAATGGAATGGATCAGTTCTAAGTACTTCAGATCTTTGATTCTTGTGAAGGCCTTCTTAGCTATGTTGAATTCCAAACCTTCAAGTGAAGCTTTAGCCAATGCCTCCCAGTCTCCATCAGTAACACCAAGGCATGCAATATTATAGGCCTCCCTGCAAAGAGAATATAAGCATTGTAAGAAGTAAACACTCTGTGAGGTTAAGAATTTCATAATCATGATCTTGACTTTAATTCTATGCTGTAAGTTTCTGAATAAAAATTTCTGCAAGATCTAGTTTCTTAATTGTATCAAGACAATATATATACCATCAACTTCCTGGTTTTACAATGTTATCCAATGTAAGTACATATATAAATACAGTATGAATTATATATCTCCTTAATTACTTCACAATAATATATGAACATCATACACTTAGTTATAAAAATCATATGCTAATTCTACATAAACACTTTAATAAGTCAAACAGCTATTCATGTTATGTTATTATTCATACTGTTTGAGAAAGTAGTACTAAAGCACATTTAGTACATAAGACTTCAAATGCTTCAAAAGCAAGCTTACTTGTACATCTTCTTGTCCAAGTACTGATACATAGGAGCAGACTGGGGAACTTCTATTGTTGACATACTATAGATGTGGAGGCAGAATATCTTACTGCCACTAAAACCAACAACAAAGCCCTATAAAGAAAAATGTGGTATTTCTCAGTGTCATTAAATCTCAAAATCACTATTTAGCCATTACAACTTTCTAGGAATACTGATGGCTATATAATAATAAGTGGATTAAGGATAGCAGTCAGGTCAGGTAAAACAAAATAAGTTTCTTTTTTTTTTTCTTTTAAAAGATGGCTGTCAAATTACCTAAAGCAAAATCATTATGAAACTTTTATAAGGTGGACATATACACAGAAAAGAGTAATGAATATTCTACATTACCTGTAGCTTTTGCTGATGAGATGGGAAGTTTGCAGCTTTAATGTTGAGTGTGCTGTTCCCAGAGAAGCAAAGCATGTCTTCACAACTAGTATTCCAAGCCACACTATTAGCATTGGGTTCCTGTAAACAGAATTAACTGTATTAGATAAGCCAAACAATGACATCAATATAATGTTACACTTTCCCACACTTACTCTATTCTTCACCAAATAAAAGACTAATTATACAGAAAATATGTCTCACCTGGAATAATAACTCAGACGTCTTGACATCATAAACAAGAAGGGTGTTGTGCTCATCAACCACGGCTAGCTTATTCCGAGAAGAACTTAGGTCAAGACAGCGAATTGCTGCTGGCACTTTCAGAAGGGATACAGGGAAAGCATTATCCAAGAAGATTTTCAGAACCTATAAGAAAAGAATATTATATCAATAATCAGTACATTTAGAATCATCACCATATAATGTACTGTTTCCATGTCATTAGTGCATTTTTTATAGTTTTACCACTAAATACTATATTCTTAGCTTAATGTCATCAAAAGGAAGAAACAAGTGAAAACAGCTTTGCCTTTGTACCTGTCCATTCTTGAGCCCCAGCAGGAGACCTTCTCTATTGGCTGGCCCACCCACCACCTTGATGTAGCGAATCAGAGAGTCCATTTGCCACTCCCGTTCCTTGATGCCACTGAAGTTCAGACACTGCAGCCTTTTCTCCTGTGTGAATAATGTATTAAGTCTATATTCCATATTCACTGGGAACAGACTTGACTTTGGGGTAAATAAAAACAAACGCCAATTGGGAATACATTACACAGTATTCATTACCTGACAAAGGACAATGTGGTTTGTGCAGACGACAAGCAGATTGCAATCAAGACGCTGGTTGATCTTTTCACGGACACGGTAGTGCATGTCAGAGGCTTCTTGCGAGTACAGTTCATATATAATAATTCTTTCAGGAAGTTGAACCTGTACAGGAATAATGTGAGGTACAGAATTATAATTCTTACAAAAAACAAGACCTTTGTTTATCTGCTGGTCATTTATCATTGATTAATAATTCATTAAGTGTAAATGAGTGAATGAAAGAGTTTAACAAGAAAGGAAGAAAATATAATTTAACAAATGCACAGAAAAATGAGAAATAAAGAAATACCAAAGTATATCTGAATAATTAGGATGATGACCCCCCCCCCCCAAAAAAAAAAAAAAAAAAATGTATAGCACTCACAGCAAGCCGATGTTTGTAGATTGCAATCTTCTTCACAAGGTCTCGACACTTAATCCTTACTTTCTGCTCTGTGATAAGGTGTTGAATAATCACATCTGTCATGTTTTCCCTAAAGGCATAACGTTCCTTGTACAGGCCATGGACAGTGGAAAATATCAATTGGTAGTAGGCAATGGTTCCATCCTGACAACCAATAGCCTGAAATTTTAGAAAATCTCATTATTATGTATTTATGTAACTTTGGCAATTTTCTCAGGTAAAAAAATAAATATATATAATCATTAACCCCCTGAATTATCCTTTAATAGGCTCTATTCAAATATAACTCACAAATCAGTATAGCAATAAAATGTTAGTAAGGCATCAAACACACTTACCACAAAGTTAGAGTCTGGTCTTGCAGCACAGCACCAGACCCACGAAGACTGCTCGCCAATCGTTCCAAGTTTCACTCCTTCTCTTGTGTAGAGGAGACAGGACTTGTTGGAGCCGCCCACAAGAAGATATTCCCCTTTGCTGAAGTAGTTGACACAGCAAGGATCAAAGCCTAAGGGTCTCTCCTTGCCAACCTGATGGAAGGTATTAGTATGCAGAGCTCTATCAAAGACTGTTTCCTTTCAGTTAATGTAATACTAAAAGACTAATAAATACCAGCAGTAAGCAGACTTATGACTCAATAGTTGTACTGGATGATAAATTCTTATAAATTTGTACTAAGTACTTGTTGCTCCATCTTAAGTATAAAAATATAAAAAAACAGAAAGCTAATACAATATCATGTTTTTTATTTCAGAAATATTTGGCATCAGTAGTTACATCTTACAAATAGCATGATAATAGTATTAATGAAAACATAAACAGATAATATATTATTTACCTGTTTCCCACTGAGAGCATAAAACGAAAGATTTTGGCCCCAGTCTGCTACACACAACACATCTACTGGTTCATCCCTGTAGGCGAAAATGTCAACTATTTAAGTTACAAACCATGAAACAGAAGACAATCAAACTCCTATCTTAATTCCTTGAGAAATGAAAGACAAGTATATATGAACTCTAGAAAATATTTTGAAACTTTTGCCTTTTTCTCAAATAACCAGTTTAAATATACAATTTATTCTCCAGTCATCACTTCAACACAAAACTGCAGTTATCAACTCATGAGCAACATACTTAGATGGGTTCCAGGCCATAGACCAAATAGGAGAATTTGTTCCTCCAGGGCGTTCAATCCTCATCTTTTCCTCCCCAACCTGAAAGTCAGACATTATACCTGTAATACAAGCCATTTTGTGCAGACATTAAAGCCCATGGTTCAGCTTTTCTTGGGTATTCACTAATTTGCTTTTTACATTTCCTATACATTCTGCTAATCAAAATTCCTGAATCAATCCCTATAATTATCAGAAGGCTTCCTTTAAGACAAAATATATTAACCTTGCATGAATTCCATAAAGGAAAAAATGTAGAAAAATAAATTAAAAAAAACTGCATCCTGAAATCTACTAAAAGTCTAGCAAAAAAATACTTTACCTTGTTCCTAATTGACACAACACCATTGGCCAAACCCAGTGCAAGATACACCCCATCATTAGTCCAAGCACAACTGTATATTCTGCTGGTACTCTGAAAAAAAAAAAAAATCAAATTAACTTTATACTGCATTATCAGATAGATAAAACCAGGCAATTTATGGTATAAATTCAGCATTTATTCTAACATTTTAGACAACCTTCTAAGATTACCAACCTTATGTTTCTGTACACTCTTCTGCTCTGGTGACCACAACCCAAAGTCACTGAGAGCACATGATGCCAGCTGATGTGATACAGGGTTGTAAGACATGCATTGTATTGCATCATTGTGCCTGAAATTAATAAAAATCTTAGAAACCCTTGATACATTATTTCATAGCAATCATCCAGTTAAGTACAGAATAAACTTTCTATTAATACATTTGTCTTAAACCTTCTTGCAGAGCCTTACGAATATTTGAGAATTCCTTCTAATTTTGAAGTCCATATGATGACACTCTTGTCAGCACTCCCAGAGGCAAAACGCTTTCCATCTTTACTATAACAGACACAGTAGACGGACTCTTTGTGACCTGTAAAGTCATAAGGAAGATTACAGGTAATATCCACTTAAGGGAAGTGTACTTCAAACAGTTAAAAATCTTGAGTACCTATAAAGAAATTACTTTCAGTTGAATCAAAAAGCTGAAATCAAAAAGCTTACTCTTCACATATATAGCTCATATTACTGGCAACATGTATATTCAAATATAATATGTATAGAATAAATGAAAACAATTATATGTAAATACATATCGATTTCAAGTTTAGATACTAATAAAAAAAATACTTATGGTTGTCAAATTTTGTAACAGTAATCTTATTGTACCTTTCAGTGGCTGCACTAAAGCTCCATCAGTTGTATCATACACCAAGACACGATTCCCTGCAGCCACTATCAACTGAGAGCCATCTGGTTTGAAGCAAAGATCATATATGCTGAAAACAAAAAAAATATATATATCTCTAAAAAATCATATGATAAAGGGCAAGGCATAATCATTGCCTCAAAGCTTTACATGTATCCATATATCTTTCTAATTCATCATGGACATGATAAAACAAAAATGCTCACTAAAATGAAAAATCTGAACTTTATTTTTCTCATGAACTCTTCGCATTTTATAATCCTACCAAAAACTGATTAAAATTATCCTTCAAATTTCATTACCTATGCTCTATCACACCTAGCAATTTTCCCAAAGCCAATACAAGTTAGAGGTATAATGACCATGCATATCAGAGAATATATTACAACCTATTAGAAAACTAATAATAACATCATTCTCTGCCGAAGAATTTGAGTTGGAGGGATCCCTGTTGTTTCAGATTGCAAATAACCGTATTTTTAACCTCCTGTATCTTTAAACATTAGCTCTATATTCCCCCTTAATATATTCCACGTACTCTAATACCCTATTCCTTGAGTCCTAATATCTTGTCTTCACTCTCAATATCTCACAAACCATACAGAACTCCCAACTCTAACACTTACCATTGTTCTACCTTATCTCTATCGTGAACTTTGTCGACCCACGTTGGCACAGCTCTCATTTTTGGCCCTTTTTTTATATCACAAGAGGAACGAAATACACAGGCATTCTCCTCTACTACTCTCTCCTCGGTCGCAACTTTTACGAGATTGAAATGTTGCGTTCTCTATTCGGCACAAATTACACATTGCCGCCACATTAGGGAGACGTCTATGGCTATCTCTAGCTATTATTCATTATATTTCTCTGTTGAGCAGGAAGCAATGTTTTT